ACATCAACAGACGGAAACATTTAACATTAAAAAATCGTAAATGTTTCCTTTATTTACTTGTGACATTAGCTTCTATTCAAACTTGTGTCGCTTTGACGGCCCCAGTCATAAACTTGCTAAGATTTCCTGTAAGAGCCGAGATATCCGAAATGTGTCCAGTTGTACAGTACATGGACGACATAAAATTTACTACAACAGACCAGACATCACACTCATTGACAAACACAATAAAACCCCATACATTATAGACATAGCCATTCCAAACACTCACAATATACAAAACACANTTGATCAAAAACGAACAATTATACACAACAACCTTATCCCACAAACAACACTTGAAGTTATCAAACAACAGGTTGCTGATCAAATACATCAACAGACGGAAACCTTTAACATTAATGAAGATCACGTAACCTGTCAGAATAATCCAGTAACAAGCAATGATAATGGCACACATACAAAAACTACCACTAATGATAGTACAGGCACTTTCTCATTTATCACTGATAACGTAGACATAAAATTAGTTAATACGCTCGCACTTATATTTGAGGAAACACTCACTAAATATACAGATACAGATCCCACACAAAGACCACGAATACCAAAAATCAACACTTCAAAGATAGTAGGGAAAACACTAAATTATGTAAACACACACTTACTACCACACTACATCCATTTAATTTCTACTTTTTCAGATATTCATACATTAGTTTATGCTGGGGCAGTCACAGTAGTAACACACCATGGACTGGAAATACACTCACAGACAGACACACACAAAACACAATTCTATCACAAGCCTGCCTGGCAGAGAAGAATAGAAACACAAATAAATGACATTAGACAGCAATTAGTCAGGCTGACACAATACAATAAAAACAACATAACACCCAAATTAAAGAAACAACTCAAAAACATTTTGAAGAAAATAAAAACACGCACAAAACACGAACATTACAACACACACATTACACAATACATAGATACATTAAAACAGAAACTCGCAGCCAAAGCACGTAGACTCAAACGATACAAAACATGTACACTACGAAAACAACAAAATAAATTATTCACAAACAATGAAAAACTTTTCTACAGACAAATCAGTACCAAAACAAACACTGATACACAGCACAGTGGCACACCAACAGAAGAAGAACTCACAACTTATTGGTCTTCTCTTTGGTCCAATGCTGTTACACACAATGCTGATGCAGGCTGGATCAAGGAGGAGAACAGAAACTTGCATAACATACCAAGTATGCCCTGTGCTGAAATAAACATACACGACATTCGCTACGCTGTTAACAGAACACACAACTGGAAGACACCTGGTGTAGACAACATTCACAATTTCTGGTATAAAAAGTTTACATCACTGCACCAGGAACTAGCTAAACATCTAACACACATCATCATCAATCCACAAGACATGCCAAAATTTCTTACTCGGGGCATTACCTACATGAAACCTAAAAACAACAAAACCACAGACCCCACACAATACAGACCAATTACATGTCTTCCAACACTCTACAAATTATTGACATCCTGTATCACAAACAAAATATACAAACATGTTGAAGAACACGACATTCTTACAGAACAACAAAAAGGTTGCCGTAGAAATCACAGGGGATGCAAAGAACAGTTACTCATAGATTCAGTCATTCTACGGCAAGCACACAAACAACACAGAAACATACACATGGCATATATAGACTACAGAAAAGCATTCGACAGTGTTCCACACAGTTGGCTGCTACATATTCTACACATGTACAAAATACATCCATCACTCATTGCATTCTTCGAAAACACTATGCAGCACTGGAGAACAACACTACATCTCAGGGTTAGTAACACTTCCATACAAACAAACGAAATATTCATTAGGCGAGGAATTTTTCAAGGAGATTCCTTGAGTCCTCTCTGGTTCTGCCTAGCCCTGAATCCATTATCCAACATGTTAAACAACACGCATTATGGCTACAATATCAGACATGAAAAAACAACACAGTTTACACTCTCACATCTCATGTACATGGACGACATAAAACTTTATGCATCCACACAAAAACAACTTCATCAACTCCTACAAATCACACATTCATACACTAAGGACATACAAATGGAGTTTGGCTTAGACAAATGCAAAACACTTCACATAGAAAAAGGAATCCTGAAGAAAGAAGATTTTGCACTTGGAAATGGAGACGTTATTGAATCCATGGAAGAGGGCGAGTTCTACAAGTACTTAGGATTCCAACAGGCCAAACTAACAGAACATACACAAATAAAGCAACGATTAATTAAAGAATACCAAAGTAGGTTAAACGCTATACTTAGAACACAGTTAAATGCAAAACACACAGTTAAAGCAATAAACACATATGTCATCCCAGTACTCACATACTCTTTTGGAGTTATACATTGGACTCACACAGATCTCGAGCAACTCCAAAGGAAAACAAGAACAACACTTACTAAGCATAAACAACATCATCCTAAATCCGCCACAGAAAGATTAACCCTTCCACGTAAAGAAGGCGGACGTGGCCTGATTGACATAGTTAACCTTCACTACAAACAAATACAGTCACTGCGAGAGTTTTTCTACAAGAAACAAGAAACATCACAGTTACATAAAGCAGTAACTCTAGCAGACTCAAATAACACACCATTAAACTTACACTCACAACATACAGACATGACACAACATATAAAAAGCATAGACAACATTAAGCAATCATGGGCTCAAAAGGCTCTCCATGGCAGGCATCCTTACGACCTGGCCCAGGATTTTGTTGACAAAACTGCGTCAAACAGCTGGTTAGATCGGGGATGCCTCTTTGGGGAGACGGAAGGATTCATGATTGCCATACAGGATCAGGTCATAAATACTAAAAACTACAGAAAACACATACTCAAAGATACAACACTCACAAATGACACATGCAGAAAATGTCACATCATGCCAGAAACTATACAACACATCACTTCTGGTTGCAAGCTCTTGGCACAGACAGATTACTTACATAGACACAATCAAGTAGCAAATATAATACACCAAGAGCTTGCAAAGAAACACAAATTGGCAGACATCCACGAACCATACTACAAGTATATTCCACAGACAGTATTGGAAAATAACACGCACAAAATGTATTACGACAGAGCCATAATCACAGATAAAACAATTTACCACAACAGACCAGACATCACACTCATTGACAAACACAATAAAATCACATACATTATAGACATAGCCATTCCAAACACTCACAATGTACAAAACACATGCACTGAAAAAATTAGCAAGTACACAGAACTCGCCCAGGAAATCAGGCATCTGTGGAGGATGGATAATGTGCTTATTGTACCTGTTGTTCTCTCCTGTACAGGTGTGATACCACACACGCTACACAAAAGCCTGGGAACATTACAATTGAATAGAAATACATACATCACACTACAGAAGGCCACTATATTGAATACATGCCATATTGTTAGGAAATTCCTTAATGCTGACACTGACAATGACACACACATTTAATTTTAGTTCTGTTTTGGTTGCTATGCCTTGACTCTGGTCCGGCATAGTATACAGCCACCGGTGTGAACCGAGTATAACTCACAAAACCCAACATAATAATAATAATAATAATAATAATGAATTTATTAGTTATACTAGCAGGTAGACCCGGCGTTGCTCGGAAAAAGTAACGATAGCGAACATTAAGGTTATTATGTTATAGTCAACCTTACCCGTTTTCGCAAAATGCAAAAGTTTGGTGTCCCTGTTTTCAGACTAATTAAAAAATTTTTAGATTTATCTAAAATATGTTGGATTTCTTGCAAACAACAAAAAACTACATCTGCGTCTTTCACTCCACTTTCTCTTAACAATTCCATTGTTATGTACCACCTTTATTGTTGAAACGTCTATTATTAACACTTCCATTGTTGACACTTCCATTCCTAAGAAACACTTCTATTGTTGATGGAAGTGTTAAGTCTTAATTCTGTTCCTCTCCCCCATGGGAGGGAATTTCGAAAAATCACTTCTTATTGTGCGATCTCGTGGCGTACCCTAACTGTATTCCAAATTTAAACTTTAACTTTTAACTGTTTCGGCTCTGCGCTTATTATTATTATTATGTTGGGTTAAGCGAATTATACTCGGTTAACACTGGTGGCTGTCCACTATGCCGAATCAGAGTAAAGGCGTAGCAACCAAAACAAAACTAAAATTAAATAAGTGTGTCAATGTCTGTATTAAAGAATTTCCTAACAATATGGCATGTATTCAGTATTGTGGCCTTCTGTAGTGTGATGTATGTACAGTATACCCTTATATAACGCCTAGATACGTTTCCCCTTATAAGAATTTTACGTTGTAGAAATCCCTAAATACATGAGCCAATCACAGCCCGACACGTGTGAAGTTTACCGACTAAGGCTGTTTGAAAGGTATTCTTCTATAAAATTAACTGATTCTAGACTAATTCGACTCAACATTTCCAAAACACGTATAATTTTTTTGGGAATAATCCGTATAAACTATGCTATAAACAAAAAATTGTAGGATTATTTACCGAGTGTGCACCGTTCGACTACGCCGTAGCTTACGCTTGTTTTCTTTGCAGAGCAGCGCACCAAACAAAGGCCGCGTTTTCTGGTAAATTATTTTTCTGCGAAAAATTCGTTGACCTTTGGAGACAACATTAATAAAAATAATTTTTATGGTAGTTAAATAAGAAATGTTTTTTTTCACAAGAAATGTATAAAATTACAGTGCTGTATTAGACTTACGGTACATAATTTACATACTGTACAGACGACAGTAAACTCAACTTACCCGCCTAAACTGTCAGTAGCGTAGAGCTAGACGGCGAAAAGTATATATATAATTATAATAAAGTTAAAATAAATTNAACTTCAAATTCTTGTGATTGCTGTTGGTCTTCTTAAATTAAAATATTTTAGTTTAAATTTTGTTTTTTCCATAAATAACATAATTATAATGATTAAATGAACAAATTATATTTTTTATTACTTTTTTTCTAGTGACGATGGATGAAAATGAAGCAGCAAGTGAATGCTTTTGTCTTGTTACATCAAATACTTGTGAGAAACCATCCAGCATGGGAACTTATATTTTAAAATGGAAAAGGTTAGATTTTCTTATCCGTTTAAAAATGGATTCTCTATTATTTATTTAAGCAAGTTTAATTTATTGTAAAATTTAAAATTATTAGTTAATATTAAAGTAATATAAATAAATTTCTTTTGTTGGTTCCACACAATAAATACAGTGGTGCCTTGTACTTTGAATTTATTCATTCCAGGAGGGTGTTTGAAGTCTGAATCGATTTTTCCCATTAGAAATAATTGAAAGTGAATTAATCCATTCCACGAATAATACCATTTCAATAAACTTAAAAAGCAAATACACACAATGTAAGGTAAAAATAACGAAAACAAACACTCTTAATAATAAATTAAAACATGTAAATACTGTATAATAAAACGAAAATGGCATTAATTGGTTGCTCAATCTCTTAAAAATAGCTGACACTTGTGAAATTTAACACGTTATTGCTAGTATGAGATTGTATTCTTTGTTTAGTAGTTTATTTTAAACTTTTTATGTCATATTTTGTTTGAATAAAATCAAGTTGAAATATCTGCAGATAAAATCATATCAGACATATTATGCTTTGAGTTTCAGAAAATATTTAACATCTACAAATGGTAAAAAGTTCATAGTGTATATGGAAAAGATGTTCATAAACTTCTACCATGTCAAATATGGTTTAAAAAGTTCCATTTGGGAAATTTTGAATTAAAGGATACAAAAAGTATGGGGTGCTGTCAACAAAGAAAAGTTGTGAAAATTTGATAAATTACATACAATATATGTAACTAAACATAACAAAAATAAAGTGAAAAAACATTTAAAAAAATGAGTGTAATGTGAGAGAGAACTTAGGTGCACAACAGATTGTGTTTATGCTTTAAGTGCAATTTTGCACTGCATGTGCAGTTTAATTAAACTTTGAAGCATTGCAATGCTTGCTTACAATGCATTGTTTGAACTCTGAAGCAAATTTCTGTTGAATTTAGCATTCAAAGTATGAGTTACTACTGTAATTGTTTTTATTCATATTTTATCTGCATTTTATTAAACATGAGATTTGTTTAATAGATAAGGCTTCTATTTTTATAAAATTAGCTTAGGATGAGGAAGAGTAAAAATCATTTATTTTGCAATGTGTGCATGGAAAAACTTTGGTTTTTCCTTGATCTGTTTCATACAGTACTTGAACTTTTGCATCCAATGAAAACTGTTGATATTTCAATATCCTTTAACCAGAAGAAAATTAGTAGTCTAAAATATGCAGAAACAAACCAAATGTCATTTTTATTAAAAAAGAATGAATGTTAAATGAGCAAATAATTTAAAGATGTTTACATTATCAATTTAAGATCTGAATTGTTTTTAATTATAATTAATTTACAGTATATTTATTATCTTTTAATCATTTCAGATGTTCACCTCTTGCTGAAACTCCATGTGTAGAAACAATCTTAAATCTTCCCAGTGTTACCGTACAGAGTACACCTCTATTCCTTCAATTTGAAGCTCCTGCTCACGGATGGTTACGTACTCCATTAACCATTTCGTATAATCTACATAATCGTACCGTGACCGTTCAAGACATAGAATTATTTGTGGATAGCAGCGATGCCTTCATGTATGCAGGAAATAAACAGGTAACTTAATTTTATTTCATTATTCAACAATTCTAATATACAGTGGAAGCTTGGTATACGACCTTAATCCGTTCCTGATGTTTGGACTTATACCGAATTGGACGTATACCAAACCAACCTTTCCCATATGAAGTAATGTAAAAATGATTAATCCGTTCTCGTGTAAAAAAAAATGGTTGGCTTTAAACACCTTGCTTTCCTGGCTAGTTCCTGCTTGATTTTTCGTGAGATCAGCGTGTATCTTTTTAGCTTTCTCGCAAATAATTGCTTCCGATACTCTGTCTCCAGCACTGTTTTTCAGTTATCCAAAGCAAAAGCAATTTCTCGACAAAATCTAATGTCTTCGATCTCTGTTTAGAAATTGATTTAACCCCTTTCGCAACGTTAGCAGATTTAATGTCTTTATTTTTTGCGATTGTCCATATTGTCGTTCTCGGAATATGGTAGGCAACAGTTAAAATCTCAAACATGCGTGCCACCTTTGTATTTCTCAACAATCTCTTTTATCAGTTCCATTGTAATTCTAGTCTACACACCAACCGAATGCCGAAAATTCTAGTCATTTTTTTAGTTTTCTGTCACTTTTCATTTGCCTTTTTGCGATTCGTGATTAATAAAAATAATAAAATTTTACTTACAAATTAAAATCAGAAGAAATTTAACAAAGTTATAAACCGTTGCACCGCGAACGTCTAGTCTGGTCTAGTACACCGATAGTGCTACTTGTTCATTGATGGCGCGTATAATTGAATTATGTCGTATACCGAACAAAAGTCGTATACTGAGCAAAATTTGTTTCGTCCAAACAGGACGTATTCCGAATCGGACGTATTCTAAAGCAGACGTATACCGAGGTACCACTGTATTTATTTTTCTGTGGTACTTGAAGCAATGTTTTAAACCTTTTTCTAATAATGGCATCCCTTACTTCTTTATCAATGTTGGATTTCTGCAATTTTAGCAATACATATAAGTGTTGTTGTGCAGCTTAGTACAGTAATACCCTGAACTTATGTGATAGGTGGGACTGACTGAGCGATGACTGCGTAAGTCGGTATAATTTCGCAATTTGTGTAAAATCCAAGTCGGATGTATGTAAGCTAATAAATGTTCTCGTTAATCTTATCTCGTCTTTTGATTCATTCACGGTTACAAGAAATTACCACATAGTCTCTCAAGTCTTCGTAGATATAACAAACACAGAAATAAATAACACAAAATAAATTGTAGCTATGTGTCGATTCCGCACGACACGTCTGAACATGTAAGCTGAACAATAGTGTGGGAGGAGTGAGTAATCGAGAGTTGTGTGGTGTTCAAACAAAAGACAAATCGACGAGATTTGAAAATTGCATAACTCCGAGTTTGTGTAAGTTGGGTAGCGTAAGTTGAGGTATTACTGTACTATATTTTGTGACACTGGGTCCACAGTAGCTGACTGAATAAAACCACTAAACACTGGTACTTAATCACAAGTTGATGTCCAATAGGCTAGCCATGTGGAGTTTCTGGGTTTTCTTCACATGTCTAACACATCTAAGTAGGGACCAGTTTCTCATAGAGAGTTCTCTCAGGTGGCACTCTACCATTGGCAGATCACCCATGTGTTGCATTGCCTCATTCTATCAATCCATTTCATGGCATTCCCGAAGTGTTGTTGTGGCACCCCACTGACTTAAAGGAAGAAAACCAATTAAATTTTAATAAATAATCCATATGTATGTAGTATGATCCAAAAGTTCGGAGACTTGGTGTAAAATTCCTTACCTTAAAAAGTTTATATTGTCAATGCACAACTACCTTCAAAGTAATCACCTTGGGCGACGATACACTTTTTCCAGCACTCGTATAACTTCTGGAAGAACTGTGGGAAGCCATTTTTTGAAATCTCCCGTAAGTCCTCCTGCGATGCTGCTCTCACCTCATCTGATGACACAAAACGGCATCCCTGCAAATGCTTTTTCATTGATGGAAACAAATAAAAATCACACGGAACTAAGTCTGGTGAATAGGCGGGTTGTGGAAGCACATTAATTTGAGTTTTGGCGAGAAACTGTGCGACCATTTGGGACCAATATGTAGGTGCATTGTCATGCAGAAGGTACCAGTCTCCACTTTGCCAGATTTGCAGCCGTTTACGACAAATGGATTCCCTCAAACAACGTAAAATGTCTAGATAATGCTCCTTGTTTACTGTTCTGCCTTTGGGAATAAATTCTGAATGAACAATTATTTGAAAATCAAAAAATACCTCCATCATGACTTTCCCTTTGCTCTGATCCTGCTGGAATTTTTTTGATTGCAGTGATGAGGGTGATTTCCATATTGAACAAGCACGCTTTGATTGGGTATCAAATAAATAACACCACATTTCATCACCTGTTATGATGTGGTACAAAAAAGCTGGATCCTTATTAAATCACCCAATATTCTCATTTGTTCTTCCTTTTGTTCAGAAGTCAAAAGCTGAGGGACAATGTTCTGAGACACTCGGTGCATGTTAAAATACACTGGCAACTAGTCTTTGACAAGTGAGTAGCTGCAGCGATTTTTTCAAGAGTTTGGCAATGATCTTTGCGAACATATTGAGAGACCAACTCAACATTTTCCTCGTTCCGTGAAGTCGAAAGCCGGCTAGAACGTTCATCGTCTGCGATGGATTCTCGGCCCTCTTTAAAATGCCGATGCCATTTGTACGCCTTCAATTTCACCATGGTAGAGTCACCATACACCTTTCTTAGCAATTTTAAAGTCTCCGTAGGTGTTTTACCTAAATGCTGACAAAATTTAATGTTGCAGCGCTGTCCTTGAAACTCCATTTTTATTACGTTGCAGAACAAAGGTAACTATCTCCGGAAGAAAACAGCAACACTTGCAGTTTAATCACGTGACATGGGCAAAACAAACCTGAACAACTGATTTGGTAGAATCCATTCCTGCAACTTCAAACACATGCTTTTGTTGTCATAGATTACTACAGTCCCCGAACTTTTGGATCATACCACGTATGTATAGAAACTTGGTTTAAAATTACTTTTTAACATTGAAGTTGCCTTGCAGTGCAAACTTGTTTAATAAGACCATTTACTAAACAAGTTAATAGTATGCTGTCATTGACACATTTGCTACTCACATAACTCTAAATAAGGCACTGAGAACAAATATTTTTGTGGTTTTTGAGGAGTTATTGGTTCTAAATTTTATTTCAATGCAGAATACAATAAATAAATCAATTTACTTTACCATATAAATAACAATTTCAAGTACAGTAGACCCCCCCATAATACTGTTGATAATTCCGTTTTATATGAATTCCATGTTGTACGAGTCACTTAGATTTTACAAATACGTGAGCCATTCACAACCCGGCACATGTATTTGTAAAATCTAAGTGACTCATACAACATAGAATTCATATAAAATGGAATTATCAACAGTGTTATAGGGGGGTCAACTGTAATAACTAAATTTCTTGTACAATATTAAATAATTGTTGAAATCTTACTAAACATAGAACTAGAACAGAGAATATATCATTGAGAGATTATAAATTGAAGCAATTATTAATTTTATTAAAGTTTATAAGCATTAAGCCACAGTCACACTTTTGTGTTTTTAGCAATGCAAGCAACTGTAACTACGAGTCCTCCAAATGCTATGCAAATGTACCAGCAACTAAAAACAGAATGTTTGTTTGCACTTGTAAAATTAGTGCGAACAACTAACATTTCATTAATTTCAAGTGCAAAGCCAATGAACGAATGTCTCCATGTTTATCATTCTATTTAAAGTGGTGACAAATTGAATCACCAAGTTTGAATCATAAATCCTTGAGAAATTTCTTCACAATGAAGAGAAAAACTCTAATTTTTTATTGTCTTTTCGTGTTGAGATATAAAAGAAGGCTTTGTTTGCTTCATTTTTCTAGTTGCAATGCTGTTGATTGTGATCATAACTTATACTACTTAACCATTACTAGTTACAAATTTTATAATATGGCTGTCGTAAGTGTATGGCCTCTGATGCACGTGTAAAACTTGGGGCTATTGTGGTTGCAGCTGTCTGCATGGTTGAAAATTGCAGTGTGACACTTTACATGTACTTACAAAAATGTCAGAAAGTACAAGATTCATATTGTGAAATCTTTATCATTTTAATAAGTATACAGAAGAATCAACCTCAATTAACCAAGATTCAAAAAGGCTGTGGCAATCCTCTGTACACTTTTGGTTATCTGAGGTGGTATTGGTCTGCATTATCTTGGATAATTGGGGTTTTATAGTATTATACTGTAACTTTAAACCTTTTAACTTTACAATAAATTATTGATTAATTAGTTTCTTTAGAATCAAGATATTTGACAGTATTATTAAATGTATTCTATTGAAAATTTAATGTTTTTTTAGATCCAGAAATTATCATCTATTTTTAATTTTCAGTAAATCATCATCTCATATGTCATTATTATTCTACAGCTGCATTTCCGAATACTGCCGAAGAGCGTCTACAAGCTCTCTTACAATCTGTATCCTTTAATATCGGGTTACGTGCCATTACCACGACTGAGGTTAATTTTGAATCCCGGCAACTCCAATGCGGTGGCATTAGATGACCTGATGCAAGAAATGTTGCCGAGCCACATACATATTATGGTATGACACTAAATATTTGATTTCGTTTGACGTTAATGCCTTATTTATAAATCTTTTTAAATTTTTTAGCCACAAGGAAAGAATTTAGAAAGAACGGAACAACCCAACATTCCAGTCGTAATGTAAATAATCGAACAAAATTTCTTACGACATATCCGATGTGAATAATTTCATTTGACGTAAATAAATTATTTGAGAACTTATTTAGGGAAAATATTTTCCCTAAATGAGTTTTGCTTTTTGTTTATTTTATGATTTTTATAATTAGATGTCAAAGATGGGAATATATCAACACTAAAGTAGGTTGTATATAAGTGACTCAATTTTGATTTCTGTGTCAATTGAATGGGTTACTGAATTGTTAACAAGAAAAATGGGAATAGTTTATTACATTTTAAGCGATATTCTTAACATCTCTAGAAAAGACAATATAATTCTGTAAATACGACTCACTGTCAATAATCCAAATCATTTTTGATCCCAGTTAGTTTGCATTATCAACAAAGGGTATTTTAATCTCCCTAGGCACTAATAAAGTAGAAATAAAACATTATATTTTATACTTATAACTTAAAATGAAATATTTATGGATGTTTTTTGGTTTCTCTACTCTGAGACACTAAGAGGGTCTTTTAAATCATGGCTGCATGTGCAATTTTCCACTGATTATTATTTTTTTTTTTTTGTAATTGCCATTCCTCAAATTTGAAATTTGACAATTCTGAAAAATCCTGTAATGAGTCTTCTGTAAATGTCATGTTTTGTTTATGGAGTAACGTCCTTGACCAGGCTACTGTAGGGAGCACTTCGAAATTTGCAATAGTATTGGCTGATGTGAATCAAGTTCAGCTGGGAATAAATGGGAGGAAGGGCAGAGGTGTTTCTCGGGACATTAAAGTCATTTTTCGGACATAAAATAATCCTGCAAAAACATTTAAATCGTCAAAGGTCACAGCACCCCTGGCTATCTTAGAGACAAAGGTTTAAGTAAGTCAATGTGGTAAAATATCACCGTTACCACATGCCATCATGGATCAATCATATCTGTTGCGAGTTTGGCCAAACCTATAGTAAAGCTGAGGCTCGACACGTTCAGAATAGACTAACTGCGAAAAATTCCTGTGGTTTTTTTACCCCGGTTTCTCATTGCACTAGTTTCATAAAATGGGAGTGTTGAATTTTCATTCCATTTACATGTTTTAGTTGATGCATAATTTTCTAACAAGAATCAACAAAAATATTATAAGGTATTCCATCTTTTTCTTTTAATCAGTTTACATAAAATAGTACAGGAGAGTATTTAGTTATCAGAATACAAAAATCTTCAATTCATCTCTGTAAATGATTTTCCTGATATTTATATATGAAATTATCAACACAAATTATTTGATGAACAAAACGTTTTATGATTAAGATAAATTAAATGATTTTTTGACATTTAAAAATGTTTTTTATTGTAAACAAGGAATATGCCAGAAGTTTTCCTGCTTTAAGATTTTATCGAACAATTCGATATAATTTACAAAATGTACATGCCGTTTTAGACATACAGGTCAAAGTCAATCCTTCGTGAGTTGTAGAAATCTGAATTTTGTCCCACTTTTCTCACCCATACTCCCTTTTCAAAATATCCTTCTTCCACCCAACGGAGCATTTCCGACGACGGATGCGGACCGTAAATTGCGGCATTTTCTTCGTTTTCCCACTTAAATTCCCACATCACTTCGTCATCTATCAAAATTAAAAAAATGTTATTTTTACCATTTTTTAATATAAAAATCGATTATAACAAGCGACGAATTATATTTTAAGACTGTCGGCAAGAGGAAAGTACTCGAAATCAATATTGCGACAACATGAACACCCCTTATTTGTAAAGTAAAATAAAATGGGTCTGGCTTAATCCTGAACAGGAAAAACCAATATACTATACATAAAACAGATTATTATTATTTATTCACTACATCAATGGGAGGCACCAGCAAGACTATAATTAAATACAAATGTTACACCTGTTGAAGAATGATATCTGATTTGCATTATACATGATAAATTATGAGAATTTTTTAGATTGGATGTGGAGTTTGCATGAGAGAACAACCCAAAGCAGGCTTCTCAAAAATGTTGAAAATGTTTGTAATGCATGTGGCGGTTTGCCAGAAAAGTAAGTGAGGTTTGTTTATTGTTATGGTTGTGGAATACCCAAAATGTAGATGCAATAGGTTATTTTAAAATAATTCAGTATTTATAAAATTTATGCATAACACCTCTATACATTGTGTATAGAGGTCTCACAAAATGTAACAACCACATGTGGATATTTATCAAAATGATGATAAAATTTTTATGTTCATTATGATATTAATAAACATTAGTACAGGTACATTTGTATACATACTCTATATATATATCATATCTTTCTATACAGTTATTAGTAGTAAATTTAAAACTTTTGTATTTAAGATGTAATAATTCATCATAGATGCAGTTTCATGCTATATAGTTTATTGCTAAACTAGTGAGTCATTCTAGAATGTAGATTAAAACTTATAAAAAATTCCTTTCTGAACTTGCTACCAAAACTGGCAACACATTTGAAGCACTATTTTCTAAATTATTTTTGCATGTGTATGACTGGAAATCTAAGCAAGGAAAATTCTTAATTAGCTGGAATTAAACAAAGGATTGATTTTTTTTTTGTGTGTAAAGGTGCCCCATATCTTGGCTCCCCGAGTCTTTGTCCAAAATTGTAATAAGAACCACCAATGATATTATCTGAACTTTTTTGAAGTGTTAGATTCGTTAAATCAAATGCTCATTACTAACTTTGTACTTAATAATCTCAGATGCATTTTACAACTCCAAATCAGTAACTAATAAAGTTAAAATTCAGATTTTTGGATCATTGAATCACTCGTAGAGTTCCTTTATACTTGCAAACGCAGAATTTAAACTATTTAATATACAGTATGTGCAGTGAGTGATCTCAACAATAAAAGCAGTTTATGGTTCCATATGTAAAGACTAACTTTACATATGGAATCATATTTAGTTAGTCTTTACAATTATGTAAAGACTAACTAAATATTTAATTTTTACTGTAATTTCATCATACAATAACAATAATGTTAAATATCATGTTACAAATATTACATTATGCAGTAAATTTTTAAGTTTACAAATCATCAAAATCCAGTCATTTAAAAAAAAAAAATTTTTTAAACTCACAATGACGACAATTGCAAATGAACTAGTGTCTTTTTTTAACTACAGGAAACATAATTGACTTCATTATATTTTTAATTTTGTTTTTTAGATGGAGAAGAGACTGAAAATGTTAGCAGTCAACCATTATTTTTGTGTTCCTATTACAAATAACATAATTTTTCTCTTGGAGAAACCAGTTCATTCTTAAATCATCTCGAATGCTTTACTGAATTAAAAAATATTCTCTGTAATGAAAACTGTTGCATATAGCACATTGCATGGTAAAGCAAAATATTGGGTATTGAGTGTCTGCTATTTATAAAATAATTCTGTGACTTTTTTTCTGCAAGATTCTGTATTCAAAAGTGAAGTGATAGACTATTCAATCACTGTTTAGTAATAATAAGTTATCAAAAACTGGAATTGGGAAGAGAAGAAACAAATGTTTTTGGTCTTCAAACATTAATTCATGATAAACAATCCAACCACACACTATGACCCACTATTGCTACACTCCATGACCTCTAACCATCAAAATTTCATAGCATCGATCCTCATAAATATACAAACCTCCCCACAAAATTTCAAAATTTTTTGAGAAAAGACACAAGAATTATTAAAGTAGAAGAACAAAATCAACCCTCCAATCAATCCCCCCCCCACACAAATATCTATACATGTAGAAATGCAAGAAAAAATTTGAAGTTCTCTGAGTCCAAAAAATGTAAAAATTTTGGGGGTCATCTTTTGACTGATTGTTATATATAACATTGAGAAATTGTGGCAGCCATTATGGCACATTTTGGTGTAAAAGTTTCTCATAAGTATTTGAAATAATGATGGCACTTCCAGTTTGCTGAAGTGTGAAGTTAGACTTGTATGATTGGCAGAATATAGATTACATACCATAGATGAAACTTTGATTTGATTGGCTATTTGTGATCTTTAATTAGGCTGATTTTTCTCACAGCAAACATTAAAAATCATACATCATTAAACCTGGATAATGTGTCATGTTTTAAATTTACATATATTAGAAGATATTGACATGGGCATAGAATCCAGTTTAATAAAGATGACAAAACAAGTGGAAATACAGCATGGCATAGGTTACCTTAGGAGTGTCTCTTCCCTCAAAAAACATTAACACATTAAAATTAAAACAATCGATAAAGAATGTTATTCCTAGACGTGCGGTATGGAAAATTGAGAGGAAAATAATTAAATCTGTGATCAGATTTAAACAAAAAAAAAATGGAATAATTTAAGATATATCAGTTAAGGAAAATTACTTAATAGAAATTCTTAGTTATCTGCTCTTCCTACAAAAGGATTATAAATATAAGAAAGCACTAAAATAAGATTTTTTCATAACATCTGATAGATTTATTATCTATTCATCCATTTATCTAACAGTGACACCTAAACTACTAAATATATCCAGAATTTCTTAGCATTGGGATTAGAACATAATTTACTGTTTAGTCACGTGTCAATTGATATCATGGCAGAGTTGGATAAAAGTATTAAAGATGTATTAATAAAAAAAACTATAGATGATAAATTTTCTTTGTTTAAAACAAGAATTTAAAAACTTCTATTTTTAATAATGCCTTTCTTTTTATATCTATTATTACTTTTAAAGAAACCAAATTGTCAGTTATTAGGGCCGACAGAGCTAAATAGTTATAGTAGATAATAGAACAAGTTAATAACAATAAATATATATGATTGAATAAAGATCCATATTGTGAAATTAAAAAAGAATTTAAAAAATTGATGAAATATATAATAAGTATAAACTTCCTATCTTGATCACTAAATAATAGAACACCTAAATTGAATATCAGGTTGAAAACCCATAAGAAGAAAAATATATAATATTGAAAATCAACAATTTGTCTACAATTTAGAACAACAATTAGTGGAAATACACTACTAATTACATCATCTGCATTTCTTATTCTATTAAGTTTAGATGTCAAAAATATGTATCTGAGCATAGGATGAAATTTGATTAAATTACAAGTTGAAGATTGGTTTATACAATTAAATTTGCATATGATGATTATTATTTTCAAGTAGATCAAAATTTTTATAGACAAGACTAATGGCATTAGTATGGGGTTGAAAATGGGGCCAAAATTAGCAGAATTCATTATGAAAGATTTCGATGAATTAATAAACAACATAAAAGATGTAAAATTGGGTGTTAGATATGCAGATGATTATTTAATAATAATTTATTTGTTAGTTGATAAACAATGTAAATAAAATTAATAGTGATATAAGTCATATTGCCTAGAAAGTATGAAAAGGAATGCTTATATTATGGAATTAAAAAATATATACAGTGGAACCCTGGTTATAGAACCTTCATTTTGCAAAAATTTTGTCTCGGATAACGAACATAACAGATTTTTGTGTCAAAATTAGAAGTAGATAAATGAACTAACCACAGAAGAGTTGGTTGCCTTGCAGGAAGAACAGGTGAAAGTCTTACAAGAAGAGCATTCATCAAAGAAAGAGAAGGTTAGGGAAGAAATCATTTCATTTTCTGCAAATTTCCTTGATGTGCAGAATTTATTGAGAAGCACCATCCTAACAAAATTGTGGCTAATAGGGTCATTAATTTAATGAATGACAATGAAATATCACATTTTAGAAAAATTTTGATTAAAAGAGTAAGACAATCAACTTCAGACCACTTTCTTGTTCCTTATCAAAAGAGACTGTGACTCGAAGAATCTTCCAATACAGTGCTACCTGATATTTTTATCAAGGGGATTCCCCTTCCAAGCATTAAGCTCTGTACTGTACATCTTCACTTCTCTGTCGCCAACTACAACAAACAAAGGCATGTATAGTGCTATTTTATTAAATAAAGTTTACATATTTGTTGCTGTGATGATAGATACTACATTTTCCTATATTTCATCAAAGAAAATCCATTTTACAAATAAAATTACAAAAATTCTGGAGAATAGAATGGATAAACTGCATTTGCATTAATTTCTATGGGAAAATTGTTTCAGTTAATGAACAGAGTCACAGAACAGATTTAAGTTCGTTAACCAAGGTTCCCACTGTATATTAGAATACCTAATGCTAAAGATAGAGAAATAGAATTAAAACATCTGGATATAAAATTTACATTGAATGATTATGCAAAATTAAAATGAATTAAATGGCACAAGCAATATCTAGATAATAGATATAATACTAAACAATATAAACAAGATAAAATATATTCTTAATCTATGGAAACAAATGATATGTTTGAAAAATGTAACACTATCCTTAGACAGAATAATACATGTTTGGCCCCATCTTTGATAAATCAAATATCACAAAATATATGTTAGAAAATTAAAGACAATGATAACACGAATCATAAAAAAGATCTTGAAAAAGAAGGCACTGTTTACAGGTTAGAATGTACTTGTACTAAACCAAAATTCTACATTAGAGAAACAGGCCGTATATTAGAAAAAGGGTTAAAGAACATAAAGCAGCAATATGTCTCAAGTATATTCAATCACCATGATATGAGCATACAAATTTAAATAACTACTGAATTAATAAAAATAAAATTAAGATTCTACACATGGAAAAAGATATTTATAAAAATAAATTTGAGGAGCACATAGAAATTAAAAACATCTCAGATGGTATAAATATGGACAACAGATGATATATCCTCTATTATTTCATACCATCAGTTTGAGTTTAATAAGTATGGATACAGTTTGGTACACTGAGTGTAGGTTTTGTTTAAATTATAGTGCTCTACCACAAACATTTATGGTTTGACACAGGCATGGCCAACATACGGCCCGTGAAATGGATTTATGTAGCCCACGATTAATCTTTCAATATTAGCTACTCAAGTCAGAATAGATCGGTTAAAAATTCTAACGCCTAGATAAAAAAAAAAAAGGCAACAACTCGCTGTCCGGTTAGAGTTAACCCTCCATTACAAATCTCTTAAGTACAGTGTAGAGTGTTGATAAAGCATGATAATGTGAAAAATGTATCTGTAATCTCTATGTACAATTTAGTCTCTGGGGTAACACCACAATGAGATCTTGCACCACCTCAAAATCTTCCTAGGGCAGCCTCTGGTTTGGCCCATGAAAAAAGTTTTCTTTCCAATTCGGCCTGGGGGCAAAAACTGTTGCTCACCCCTGGTTTAACATGTGGTTGAACAAACTAGTAAGAACATTATTGTTTTATATATGTTAACCTGTGTTTTGTAAATCTTCATTTGTTGATGTATATATATATACAGTAGAGCCTCGATTAACCGACACCTTGGTTAACCGACCGTCCTAGTCGGCAAATTTCAAATGTCCGCTAGTGATGTAGCGCTACAATATTTGGTTATGTCTTGGCTACTTTAATATTATTTTTACGTGTTTTAGCTGGCAACACTCATTCGACCATGAAAGGGAGCCAGTATTTAAACGAGGCTTAATTTTCTAATTTTTAACGATACAGTAGCGACGATTATTATTTTAAAAAATTTTTGTTAGGTTTAACATCGATGAAAATTCAACGCAAAGTAGGTTAATAGCGATATACTAATATACTAATTACATGGGATATAATAATATACTACACTAATAATGGATTTTTTCATACTTTTCGGTTATCCGACTTTTCAATTATCTGACCAACCACAGTCCCCAATTGAGTCGGATAATCGAGGCTCTACTGTATATATATATAGTACACCAGTTGAGTGTACTACCTGTTAAATAGTAAAATGCAAAACTCAAATATAATTGAGAAAAACGAACTTAAAGTTTTCTTTAGCACTTTAACTTATATATAAAGTGCTAAAGAAAACTTTAAGTTCGTTTTTCTCAATTATATTTGAGTTTTGCACTTTAGTATTTAACAGGTAGTACAATCACCTGGTATACTACCTCTACACCAAAGATCATCAAAATCCGTTTCCCCAAAGCCGTAGGGTCTCCTTGTTAGAGTATTTTAGACGTTTGTTTTATATATATAAATTCGGTTTTAAGGTTTTTTTTTTATAAACTACTGTTTGATAATTCACCAGAATAACATACGAAGTGTACTTTACTTATAGTTCATATCTTAATGTTGTGTACCAATGATTTTGAATTGTAATTCTCTCATATGTAAGTAACTATGTTATTGCAATTTACATAATGTAGTATATCATGATTTATTGTTTTAAACAGCACTGAAGAGGGGCTAAGACAATACATAAGTCCAAAATGCATATGTAAAATTTAAACATACCACAATAAAAATCATATGTCATTAAACCCAGATAATGTTTGCTGTGAGAAAAATTAATGTAATTGAAGGTAATGTGAACCCGAGGGGTTTGAGTTCGAAAATTTTTAGGGTTAACAATTTTTTTCATTAGAGGATGGAAAAAAATATAACGGAAATAGATCAGATGTGGAATCTTACACATCGTCCATTTGTTAATTAGTCAACGTGCACGTGCTAATTAGTCAGCATAACGAGTGAACGACCTGTTGGCTCAATGCCAACGATGATTGTTTTTATCACGGAAGTTCCGGGTGATCGTCCCCTCAGTTCGACCGTCCCTCCGCGCTATCATCTGGAAGGTCTGAGTACGGTGTCTCCCGTCCTGATTCTGTCCCGATCCTGTCTGGTAGAAGACATAAGCCTGTGACAGCCAGCCAGCTTCCATAGTCCAAATGATCGGCGCATACCGTCCTCTGACATAAGGTATAACTGACCGCCAATATAACTCTCTTTGTAAATTCTCTCACGCGGCATAGTGAATAGTTACAGCTACCTTTTAGATAAATTTATATTATCCGCATCTAAGCTATAATCAGTAACTTGTATACTCCTGTAAATTACTTTAGTTATAGAATAAACATTTATTTTGTTATTTGTTACACCTGTCTCCTGTCTATCCGAGGAAACCTGTCGACTTACTGACGCATTCCCCACTCGAATTGCCCTCCTAGCCATCCTACGACTTCGAGATCGGGCTTTACCAGCCTGTGCAAATTAAGTGGTCAGTACCAGATTAACCCCTGACCCACTGCATATCTCACAGTAATAATAAGAATCCAAATATATTTATATTCATATTTCTTGGATAAAGTTTCTGACATGATTCATGTTTTGTTAAGTTATATATTGAAATAATTTTCAATTGAAATACATAAATATTTCAGAAAATCAAACTGACTAAATAATTATTCNTACTTGTGAAGATTTAAAGAACATGTAACAATTGTAAGTGGGCATTATACTATTAATTTAAATAATGGGATGGAAAAAGAGATGGATGTAGTAGAATTTAAGAAGTGAACAAATAGACCAATGTTGGTGGAATGATATTTGTGGATTATGGAAAATGTATAAACAAGCTTCTTTTGTTTTTTTTTGCAAAAAAATAGTCAGTTTGTATGATATGAATTGTTTAAATGTTGTATTCTTTTTTTTTTTACTATTTTTATGTTTTTCCTTTTTAGTTTTGTATTTCATGAAGAGGAGTGTAAAAAGGATAAAAATTCACCCAAAATGCATAGTAATAATAAATGCTAATGTTTAAACACCTTAGTATTGACTTTGTCTCTGATTAAATGTGGTTACAGATGTAAAAAACAATGGTTATTTCTTTCTTTTTTACCTCAAGTTTTAATATTTTTAAAAAATTAAAAAAAAAAAAATTTATGTATCTGTATGAAGAATTAGTTTACATCATTAACATTATACAGAACAAGGTAGCTTTCATTGTACAACACTATGAAATTTAATAAATTTATTGTCTTGCTTACCTTTACCCAGTCGATATTATCTATCCAATTGTCTTTAATCTGGTTCTCTTTTTTAAAAATAAAAGTTCCTTCCTTATCAAAATAACCTTCTTCTAATTCTTCGGCCATATTAAAGGGAGTAATCTTAATTCCTTCATCATAATCAATAGTAGCATCTTCTTGTCCTAAAATTAAGTATATTCAATATATAAAGCTTCAATTCTTTGATAATTAAAAATTTNTTAAAAGAAAAATAATTGAATGAATAATAAAAATATAATTACACTTCAGTATATATATAAAACAAAAGAAAATAATTTTTTTGACTTTATATGAAGTCAAAGTGTTTAAAACTGGCACTGCCTATTTCTGGCTACACAAAAATAGAATTGTGTAATTCATTTTCTCTACACTAAACAATTGTCTCCTACAGAAATTCATAATTGCTGAAATTTATGGAGAAAATGCATTATTGCAAAACAGATCACAGTATGGTGTTCTCAATATAAAGATGGACACATGTTCGCAAGGTCAAGAAAGAAGTGGGAAGCCAAAAACGTCACAAAACAGTGAATGTGTGAAAGAAATGTTACAGAGTGATTGAAGGTTAGAATATGGAAGTTGTCAAAGATCATAGAATTGGTCATAAAGTTCTTAGATACCAAAAACAATGTGCATATTGGGTTCCAAATCAAAATATTGAAAACTATGAGCACATTGAATGGTACTCATTTTGAAAAATTTGCTGTGATCTGTGATGAAAATTTTTTAGAGGACTGGGGACAAAATTTGGATACATTATATTACATCTGACTAAGCAAGATTCCAAGTCTTGGTCCCCACCTGCCAAAAAATTCAAACAGATTTTGTCTGTTAAAATCATGGCAAGCAAGTTATTTTTTGACTAAATATTCATTTTTTATTGTTAAACAATCAAAGCTAACTTATAACATATCTAGATTTACAAGACCAACAGATTTTTAAAATAAAATATCAATATGGCAAGGGGCGATACACGTGATAAAGATAATATTTAATTTATAAGTAACTTTTTTCTAGATCACATGTAAACAATGTTGTTTCATATAAAACTTTTTATATTTATTTATTTATAAAAAATGTTTCATATTTATTCTTTGAAAATTAGTATATAAATGTTTTTTACAAATGCATTTTGTATATTTGTAAATTATATAATTGATAAGAAAAAAATTTAATATATTGTGCAAGTATTTCTGTAGGTATAGAATGATGCCTATAATTATTTAAATGAATTCCAAATATATCAAAGTATTAATACTTAACTATATCTATGATTAGTTGACCCAAAATTCAAGCATGGTGTTACTTTTAATTTAGAACAAAATTTTATTTACAAAACAATATCAAAGATAAACATTTTTCTTGTAATTTTATAATTTATCAATTTTAATAGTAGTAAGAATTTCTATATTGATTACAACAATTTTAATGCACTTATTATGCATAACTTATTGTAATAAAGAATGAATTGCAATTGTAAATTAGCAAGTCATCTCTTATATTTTACAATGATTATTTAAAATAAAAAGTATAAAAATATTTTAAAGCTATGAATTTTCTGAACAAAACATTTCTAAACATATATAAAAAAACAACTGGATTATTTAATTTAAAAATGTTTAAAAAATGCATTTTAACACAACTCTCTTCATTTTAAAAATACCCTTCTTTCTCAACTATCATTGTATATTTTTCTTATAATAAAAGAAGAATGTTCTAGAAACTAAAAACGAGGATTTTATGAACATTTTTAGACATATACATCTTACAGATATCTTTTGTATGTCATTTAACATACTTTATAAAATATTGAAATTAAAAGTTTATATTCTTTCTTTAACATTTATTACACTCAAAAATAGCATTATTAGAGAGGTTGCGGCCGACGTTTTGATCGCGAAAACGTGAACGTCGGACGTTCAGCGCTGCCTTCCTGTAAGCCTAGAAGTTTAACAATGGCGTTTGGAATGTCAGTGGAATCGTGCTCGACGTTCCAAACGCTATTGTTAAACTTCTAGGCTTACAGGAAGGCAGCGCTGAACGTCCGACGTTCACGTTTTCGCGATCACAACGTCGGCCGCAACATCTCTATTATTAAGATATAACCTACTTCATTCTGTGAAAGGTATATAACATTTTCCAAAAATGAAGATTTTATAATTAATTTGTAATATACTCTGAATGCTAACTATGACTTTAATTTAATTTGTCATTGAAATTCCATCAAAAGAAATNGGTCCAAAAGTTATTAAATTTTGATACAACAGTTCTTGATACTTTTCTGAATTCATTCTACCTTCTATGAATACAATATCTGTTTTACCTCCCCATCCAAATCCTGTCCACACCATCACAGATCCTCCACCTTGCTGTCTGCTCATTCTGACTTCTTCGTTCTTCCTCAAATCATGCCAGTAGTGACTATAACCGTTAGGTCCATCCAAATTTCACTTTTTTTCATCTGAAAAGACTATTTGTTTCCATTCCTCTTTCCATGTCATCTTGTCTTTGGCCCACTTTAATCTAGCTATTTTGTGCAATTGTGTTAATTTCGGTTTGGCAGTCATTTTGGTAAATTTGGCATTTTTATGATTATGCATACATCTCCATACAGTTGCTGGGGAAACTGCAATGGGCAATGTTGATGCTGCTTCTCTGACAGACAACTTGTTGACCGTCAGTAACTGAAAAACTTAAAGAACATGTAACAATTGTAAGTGGGCATTATACTATTAATTTAAATAATGGGATGGAAAAAGAGATGGATGTAGTAGAATTTAAGAAGTGCACAAATAGACCAATGTTTGTGGTACAATGATTTGTGGATTATGGAAAATGTATAAAAAAACTTTTGTTTTTTTGGCAAAAGAAGGTTAGTTTGTATGATATGAATTGTTTAAATATTGTATTCTTTTTTTTTTTTACTATTTTTATGTTTTTCCTTTTTAGTTTTGTATTACATGAAAAGGGGTGTAAAAAGGATAAAAATTCACCCAAAATGCATAGTAATAATAAATGCTAATGTTTAAACACCTTAGTATTGACTTTGTCTCTGATTAAATGTGGTTATAGATGTAAAAAACATTGGTTATTTCTTTCTTTTTAACCTCAAGTTTTAATATTTTAAAAAAATTAAAAAAAAAATTTATGTATCTGTATGAAGAATTAGTTTACATCATTAACATTATACAGAACAAGGTAGCTTTCATTGTACAGTACAACACTATGAAATTCAATAAATTTATTGTCGTGCTTACCTTTACCCAGTCGATATTATCTAGCCAATTGTCTTTAATCTGGTTCTCTTTTTTAAAAATAAAAGTTCCTTCCTTATCAAAATAACCTTCTTCTAATTCTTCGGCCATATTAAAGGGAGTAATCTTAATTCCTTCATCATAATCAATAGTAGCATCTTCTTGTCCTAAAATTAAGTATATTCAATATATAAAGCTTCAATTCTTTGATAATTAAAAATTTAGGCAAATTAATTCTTATAAAAAACAAGATAGAACTATTACATATTGAATAATGATTTTAATAATACCAAAAACAGACTACATGTACACTTTAATTAAAACTGTTTATTCAGGCAATTTAAAATAAATATAAATTAATGCTTAATTTTATAAATTTTTAAATTAATTTAAAGATACACAATGCAGGTAATGTCTATATCATGTCATAGAAAGTTTTCCACGTTCAGGATATGGACTTTGCATCTTTAACACTGACCCTTTCTGGGTAATATGTGTACCTCTCGAGTTTCTAATAAAGATATTTCATTTTTCATAATCAATAATTAATACTGATGCAAGTGAAAATGTTGAAATTTATGTTTTCCAGAATTACTACAGGAAATGTAAATGAAAAATAAAATACATAAATATCAAAATGAAATTTACTTAAAATGTTTTTGTCTTTAATTAAAATGGTATCAGCAAATATATACTAAATGAAACAGAACAAATGGGTATAACATAACTTTTTAGTTTTAAATACAAAGATAAAAGACTAAGGTTTTGCTATATTTTTTAAAATGTTATATATTAGGAAACAGCTAAAATATATTGAAGATGAGGCATCAAGAGATGGAAGGTGTTTGATATAAAAAGTTTGCAATCTTGTGTGGAGATTAATAAGCGAAAAGCCCTACCAAATAATCTTTAACTTGGCATCTCAATTTTCCAGTTTCTCTGTGTTGTATAAATTTCTGGATGCTAATTCCTGGCAATAACAATATGTGAAACATGCAATGCTATAATGTTGTAAATGCCATTTTTCTCTAAATACATTTTATTGAAAAATTGAGTTCTAAATGTAATATTTTCTTCTGCAAAAAAATATTGTGGCGATAGTGGCACCATAAGTCGCTATATTTTGAAGTTGAATTTATATGAAGCCATAACGTTTAAAGCACCAAAGTGCAAGTCATGTAACTTTTGATGCCTAAAACGTTACAGCCTATATTTACATCATTTTGATATTCCAGAGAATTTGTAACCTAGTGAGTTTTTACCATTTTATTGTAAACAACATTATGATATTGCATTCTTCATGTATAGTGTGTTACTTGGTTGCAAGCTAATAATACAACTGCATAAACTCCCAATCTCTAAATATATTTAGTTAAATAATTGTGATCCCTTCAATAATTTCAAGTATTTCTTTCTGAAGTGAACACACTGAGTTGCTTGTTCCAGTTTTGTATTTTATAGACTACATACTTATTGGCATTGATTTAAAAAGTGCACGATGACTCATAACTAAAACCAATTCTTATAAGAAACAAGACGTAAATCATCGTATCACTAAAATGCACATTATAACTTACTACACCAAGGCCATATGATACCCCTTGTAAAGCATAAGCAAAATTATATAATAATAAATTTTGAATTTAACAAAAATGCAACTTTATATTAAGCAGAGACATTTTCACATAGCAGTTCAAAAATATCACAACATAAATATAAAAATTTCTGTTATGCAAAGCCGTTACCTTTAAATAACAGGCAGATATATTTGCACTCTCAGTATTTACTATTTAGTATCATTTACTCATTACACATTAATGGTATTCATTAATCATAACA